GTCTTAGCCTCTGTAACCGCCAGCTTCGCTTCCTTCCTAGCTACCTTATACCTCTCCATGCACCCTCGCCTCTCCCCCTCACCTATGCTTCCCACTAACTTTCGGTACGCCTCCTTTTTCGCTTCCACTTTACCTTGTACCACTTCATTCCAACACCAGTCTCCTTTGTGCCTGCCGGAGACGCCTGTTGAGACCCCTAACACCTCTCTCGCAACCTCTCTTATACAGTTTGCTGTCGTTGACCATATAAAGTTCGCGTCACCACTGCTCCTCCAAGCTCCCATAACCGACAACCGCCCTTCCAATTCTTGAGCTTTGTCCTTAGTTAAGGCTCCCCACCTGATTCTCGGACTTCCTCGAGCAGACATTTTCCTCCTCTTCACCATAATACCAACGTCCATCACCAAGAGCCTATGTCGCGTCACGAAAACTGCATATACATTATACGGAATTGACGGCAGGTTTAAGGGAATTATTACGTAATGTGACTTGAATGAAATTTGATGAGTTGACTTGGTATTAAGAAAAACTCGCAAGACTTTGCTTCTAGTTAAATTTTAGTTGGGCTTTTAAATCTCAATATACAACATACATGAACCATGTGAACATTCATTTGGTCTTACTTTCACATTTGTAAGCACATTGGGAAGATAGTTTAAGAACTTAAAATGTATGTGATTTGTGAACGTTTTGAAGAAACTACATATACTCGGTAAACAAAAATGATGAGTCCCAACAATATGAGAAAATGAAAATATATGCACATTCAACGCAATTGCCGGCAAGCTTAAAGGCGTTATGTATTACCTACCTAATGTGAAATGTGAAAGCACAAGACTTTGCTTAATTGCTTTTAGTTATTTTAGTTTGACTTTTTAATCTAAATAGAAAATACAATTTTCTAACAATGTGAACATACATTTGTTCTTAGTTTCACGTTCGAAAAACTGCAATCACGCAACGACTTGCCAAGTCTTCCTTAGGCTTAGTTTAAAGACCAGAATTGACCTCTCAAACAGATTTTAAATAGTAGTGAAGCACTTTACTCGGTAAAGGTTTAAAACGCGGCCCGTTCCGGGTCCCTTGCGCAAACAGTAAACGCGCCGCAATTTGAAGTGAAAGCAGAACAATACGATTGGTCAGGTATTGCGTAGCGGTGTTAGCGCGCAATTAAAGGCACATCCTCACGTGTATTCATGTGGACGGCTTTTTTTAGAGCTAAAGAAATGCCGCCCGCAGTCGGCCAAAGCTGTCAATTCCCTTCCTTTTGACACGTGGTTCACTCTCCACTTAACATTTCTTGCCTCAAACTTAGAGGAAGAGGCAAATTAAATTCGATAAATTAAAAAATGTAACTCAATTAATATCTATAAAAATTATTACCCTCTCCGTTCCAATTTATGTAAACCTATTTGACTGAGCACGAAATTTAAAGAAAAAATGAAGACTTTTGAAATTTGTGGTATTAAACAAATCCAAATGGGGCCAGAGTATTTGTGTGGTTATAAAAACTTTTCATTAAGGGTAGAGTTGTAACATTAAGCTAAATTGTTACCAAATTTAGAAAGGGTTCATTCTCTTTGGAATATACCAAAGAGGAAATAGTTCACATAAACTAAAATAGAGGGAGTATCTTATTAGCTTAAAATTATGTAGAATATCTAATATAATACGTCAAAATATACTGTTATGGTAAATATTTTTTACACCATCAAAGTATATTAGTTAAAGTGTTGAACCCAACCACACCTACAAAGATAGATCCATGATTTAAATTATATGGATTCAACTTTTATGATTTTTATCAATTAACTTATTATAATTTTAAAGTTATGAGTTCATATTTACAACTATTTATTTCAATTTTAATAAATTTCATATATAAATTTATGTTTCATATCAAAAATTAAGAGTTTAATTGAACCACATTAACCTCTAACCACAAGAAAAGGACTTAAAAATGGAAAGTACCGAAAGGGAAATGCCTTGCTGTCGTAGGACAAATAATATAATAAAAGATTCTTTGTACACAAGGACAATGCCCAATAAAGACCTCGGCCAATGACCATTAACTACTTAGCTGCATTTGTAGGCAAAAAATTTTGAGCATATAAATATACCAACCAAGCACACTTTTTATTCATTAGAATTGCCTAAAGTTGAATCCACACCGCCCACACACCAAACTCCTCCTCATCTCTTCTAGCTCTCTTTCAATGGAGTGGACTAGGGGTCCAATTATTGGTCGTGGCTCTTCTGCCACCGTCTCCCTCGCTACCAATTCCTCAGGGGAGCTCTTTGCTGTTAAATCCACTGAGCTATCTTGTTCTAACATATTACAAAGAGAGTACTCTCTAATTTCTCAGCTCAATTCGCCATTTTTAGTCAATTGCTTTGGCTTTGACATTACTAGCGAACAAAATAAGACCACTTACAACATGTTCATGGAATATATACCAGGTGGCACTCTTTCTGATTTGATCAAGAAACAAGGAGGTTCCTTGAACGAGTCCGTGATTAAATCTTACGCTCAACAAATTCTACAGGGATTGGATTATCTTCACTCAATTGGGGTTGTACATTGTGACATAAAGGGCCAAAACATTTTAATTGGTCAAGATGGTATCAAGATTGCAGATTTGGGATGTGGGAAATTTGTACGAGATGAAAATTCTGCGAATTCTGGAATTTCTGGCACACCGGCTTTTATGTCACCTGAAGTTGCTCGAGGCGAAGAACAAAGATTTACAGCTGATATTTGGGCTTTTGGGTGTACTATTATTGAAATGGCTACAGGGTCACCTCCTTGGACTGATATGAAGGATCCTGTTTCTGCTCTGTATAGAATTGGTTATTCAGGGGATGTGCCTCAGTTCCCAAATAGTTTATCCAACGATGCTAGAGAATTTTTAGCAAAGTGTTTGATAAAAGACCCCAAAGAGCGATGGACAGCTAAACAACTTCTTCAACACCCATTTTTGCAATCTTTAGAGTCTAATTCTTGGAAAGTTGAAAACTTGAAGAGGGATTCTCCCACTAGTGTCTTGGATCAAGGCTTTTGGAATTCGTTTGAGGTGATGGAATCTTCTTCATTAGAGTCAAGCATCACCGTTGATTCCCCTGCAGATAGGATCACACGGCTCATTGGTGATGAGGGAATATCATGTACTTTGAAACCTGATTGGGTTGAGGAAGAAGGTTGGGTGACAGTTAGATGCAGTGATACAGAAGAAAGTTCGATAATTTCAGAGCAAAATTGCGAGTTGATCCCAGATTTTGAAGAATTGGTGGATATGGAAACATCTGTGCCTACAAATTTTTCTGATCATGAGTTTGTGGCCTCATTGGACTTTGAGTTGTTCACTTTGATTGATTGCATTAACGATGAGATAATTAGCATTTTTTATACTGGTAGTAATACGATTAATTTGATGATATCTCCTGAGAGTGTAGGAGACGTTTTTGTATCTGAGTTTAATGATTCTGAAATAAAAAAGATGAAATTTTATTGTCCAATTGAAATTCTTTTGCTGTTCAATTTCTCCTATGAACTGGAATTTCATTTTCTCCCTCTCAATGGTTGGATGTTCTATTTTTACCTATTATCTGGTTTCCGTTGTTGTTATAGATCTTTTGTCTTTGAACCGAGGGTGTCCCGAAAACAACATTTCTGCACTTCGAAGTAGGGGTAAGGTCTACGTACACTCTACTCTGTCCAGACCTCACTAGTGAAATTATTACTAAATTGTTATTGTTGTTGTTGCTGCATTTTCAAAAAAGGAGAAAGGTATATTCTCGAAGAATCTTTCCTCTCGTGAAGGGCTTCATTTTAAACACTATTTAGGCAAAATAAACAAGTTTTAGGCTATCATATCATTAACAAGCCAGCTCAGGAAATGTCAGTATGCATTAGTTTGTACTTTGTAGCATGAAAATTGGAAAAGATTGTAATGACATGTCATAAGCGATATTTAATTGCATTTAAACTATCACTTGTCTTATTTAACTCTCTTTTATAGTTAAATAGGTTAGAGTTACTATAGATAGTTATTAAATATCTTGATAGTATTAGTAACACAACGTTTTTGGTTATTAGTGCAGAAAATTAAATTTCAACCAGTTAAACTAGTTCTATAAATATATTCAACAAAAGTATATTTCTATTGTGAAATTAAATATTTTATGATGACTGTCAAAAATATTGCATCACCAATTACTTGTACCTCCTAGCCTGCTTTTCAAATTGCAAATAGTAGAAGGAATCAAACTAGAAAAGGCGAGCGTGGACTTTTTTGAAGAGGTCATTGTTCATATGCAGTGGACTTTTGGGAGGAAAAGTAGAGTCAACTAATTTTGGCCATTGCATTTGGAACATTCTATAATGTGAATAGATTAGGTGAATGAAAAGCAGCTTGTGATGAGGTCAACGGAGAAATTATATCCTTTTTCCGTTGGCCAACGCAATTGAAATGAGGTCAACGGAGATATTAAATTGGGTTTCTTTCCTTAGACCATACTAAACTCATCGAACTCCATTTTGAATTGGGCAAACGGTTTTTGTCTTTTGGGGTTTGGCTAATTTAGGTTGACCCAATTTGCCAAATAATGATTTCATTTCTTGAAGAGGCAAAGAATAGTGACCTTTTTTCAATGGTGCAGCAAGTGTTGTCTCAACCTTATTTTGTTTTCCTAGTGGGGTGGTTGTGACAAGCTCCATTTTGCTGTGGATGTAGTTTCTCTTATCTACTAACCGACCAAGTGGAAAAAATCCAAAACAAGTAGTAGTAAGTAACATAACCTCTTGTGTTGACTAGACTGATAGAGGTGGCAAATTAAAGGCCAAAAATGTTAAATTGGTCCGACAAAATGTGTTCAAATGAATAAATGTGGTCATGACAACAACAATCCCGTGGAATCTTACAAGTGGGGTCTGGGGAGGATAGTGTATACACAGACCTTACCCCTACCTATGAAGATAGAGAGGATGTCTTCGAAAGACCCTCGGTTCAAGAACGTCAAAAAAAAGAGTAATAGAGAAACAATAGAGAAATATGGTCATGATAGAATATGTAAAATGAATGAACGGTGTCGTGACGTAACATATTAAAATTTGTTTGGAACATAATGGAGTAGATTAATATATAAAGGTCAATGACGGGTGAAATTTTTTCGTCCAATGCAATTTTTTTTTTTTTTGCTTTTTGAAAAGCAAAAATAAAAACTAAAACTAATTGATTGTTCTTAAATTATTATTTAACTTCTTCCAAATTTACATAATTTTTAAAATTAATATTGTATGTTTGAATTTGAATTGCATTATAACCCGTTACGTTACGTTAATTGACATGTTTGCATCTCAAACCTGTTAGATGAAATCAACTAATTGATCAAAATTTAGTTCATTTAAGCTTAGAGGAGTTAGTCGGATTACTAAAAAATGAGTTAGATTTTATCATCTACAGCGTTCGACGATTAAACAAGGGCCATCATGGGTGGTCAGCGTTGGAATTAACAAGCTTTGTTGGGCTGTAACAAGAAAATGATTATTCACCATATTCCCATGATAGATAAAACCAAAGTGGAGGAAATTTCAACTCTTCCGTGAGTGGTATTTTTGTCTGGAATCATAAGCATATTTTGGTGAAAATTGAAATGCTAGAATTCTTCCAGTGACTTAAGCAATGACTTCATCTAGTCCTATGTGCGGAGCTCTACATCTAGACTATGCACTAATCGGATTATTCCCTCTTCATTTCACCATGTATTTTTCTATTTATTTCGTGCTCTGACTATAGTCCTCTTGTTCTTTTATTCCATATTCTTCTTATAATCATGAACTACTTTCATTTATATCCTTAGGCGTGAATCGTGAAGCAAGCTTTTCTAAACGAAAGTTGTTTAGATATTTTTGATATACTCTTTTAAAAAAGCTTTACAAAATATCTTTGGAGGAAAAATACTTGGCCAACATTTTCGAAAACCCTTTCCACGATCTCTAACCAATCACGTTTAAGTATTTGGAGCTTTCGATACCATATTTTCTACTTCTTGTCGCTGGGGTATCCCCCCTCC